TGCAACTGACGCTCAATTGTCTGCATGTTTGTAGAGCCATAACACATCTGAAAGTCATCAACGTACAGAGAGCCATCAACCCCCCGTCTAAGGCACGACGTGATAGAATTAATTTTAATAGAGAACAGGGTAACGGATAATATGCTACCCTGTGGAACTCCATTATCCTGAGGAAAAGGATCTGAAAAAATGGAGCCAAGTCGAACCTTAAACGTCCTATCATGTAGGAAATTGGAGATGAATAATGGCAATCTTCCTCTGAGACCGAAGTCAAAGAGATCACGAAGAATGCCATATCTCCAAGTGGTGTCATAAGCCTTCTCCAAATCAAAGAATATGGCTACAAGATGTTTATTTTGGATGAAGGCATCCCTGAAAAACGATTCAAATCTAACGAGATGATCAAGAGTGCTGCTTTGGGACCGAAATCCACATTGGAGGTTGGTAAGAAGATTGTTTGACTCAAGGTGCCAAACGAGCCTTCGATTGATCATTCGTTCCATGGTTTTACATATGCAGCTGGTTAATGCAATAGGGCGGTAATTAGTAGGATTCGTAGGATCTTTACCAGGTTTAGGAATGGGTACAATGGTAGCGATTCTCCAAAATGGAGGAAATACACCGTCATCCCAAATCTGGTTGAATATACATAAAAGTTTTTTTAATGTTGGGTAAGGGAGATATTTGAGGATCTGATAATGTATATCATCAGGCCCAGTAGCTGTATCATCAGCCTGTTTCAAAGAAAACTTTAATTCCGAGATCGTAAATTTATCATTATAATATTCCTCGTTTTTTGATGCAAAATTAAGTCTTTTCCTCTCTTCCCGGAGTTTCACTCTCCGAAAAGCATCCGAGGAAAAGTTAGAGGAAGAATTATAAGAAAAATTATGGCCTAAGGAATTAGCAATATCTGGAAGAGTAGTGAGAGTTGAACCATCTACCTCTAAATGGTTCACAGATATTGTATCCGCTTTACCCTTGATCCTACGGATCCTATCCCAGACTGATTTGGAAGACGTGCGACTGTTGATCCTTGAAACATACTCCTGCCATGACGACCTCTTTGCTTGGCGGATAGTCCGCCTGGCTTTCGCCCGTGCAATGCGGAAAGAGGCCATGTTGTCAGCGGTAGGAGAACGTTCAATCAGTCGCAGAGCACGATTACGTTCTTTAAGTGCTGTCTTGCAGTCTTCGTTAAACCATGGTTTATTGAATCGTTTTGGAGCTGTCGAGGTTTTACGAATCGCCTGACCCGATATATCTTGTAAGATGGTGGTAAATATTTCCATCGGGTCTTCTGCCACATCTAGATCATCTTGAGAAAAAGAAGAAATGCAAAGAGCCTCAAAGAGAGGCCAATTAGCTTTGGAGAGTTTCCATCTTTGTGGCCTGTCTACTGGCGAAGGACCATCATTCCGTAGAATTACAGGATAATGATCACTGTGGCAGAGATCGTCGTGGACACTCCAAGAAAAATCTTGGAACAAAGATGGAGAGCTAATTGTCAGATCTAGATGAGAAAAAGTTTGGTTTTTTGAGCAGAAATACGTAGGCGATTCGTCATTAAAGATGCGAAGATCATTGTCATAAATAAAGTCAGCTATTAATTTTCCTCTGGTATTATCATCGGAACTACCCCAGAAAGAATGGTGACCATTGAAATCTCCTAACAAAATGTAAGGAGAAGGAAGCTGGGCAACAAGGTCATCCAATTCTCTCAGGTTCAATGATAAGCTAGGTGGTAAGTAGATGGAACAAATGGTAATAGGTACGTGGAGTGTAACTCGCACTGCTATTACCTGCAGAGGAAAATTGAGTGCGATTTCGGACTGGGCAACATTCCTATTGACAATAATAGAAACACCACCCGAGACCTTATCATCACCAGTGCCATAATGGTGGTAGGAAACAAAATGTTTAAATGGCACTAAACGCAAATCCGTTGGCTTAAGGAAAGTCTCTTGGAGACAAATAGCCAACGGATTGTATTGTTGCATTAATAGCTGAACTTCATTAAAATTATGACTTAAACCTCGACAATTCCATTGTATTATATTATTTTTTGATGCATTGTCGGGGTGGTTTGACTGGACTACGAGGTTTGCGGTCAGGGGGGTTGAGAACTTCCGCATCAACCTCGGAAGCCTCCATATCTATACTATCAGATATGGCAGACTTCAAAAGATCTCTTACTCCCTTTTTGGAGGAGGATCCATTTTTTTGCCGGACTTGTCATTTTTAGAAAGACTTTCGCTATGCTTTTGTCTGGAATGCTTACCAGTCCCTTTCGGCTGAACGTCTTTAGCTGGTAGACTA